CCGGCGTTGCAGGCAGCGGAGGTGGCCGCGATGTCCAGGGAGGGGCGGCGCGCGCTGTCTCTGGCCTACGAGCTGTCCCTGGCCGTTCGGCAGCAGACCACCAGCGACATCCGGGCCACGCTGTCCGCCCCCGAAGGAAGCATTCAGAGCAGCCCGCTGGGAGCACTGACCACCCTGGCCGAGCACAAGGACGCGTGGAAGGTGGTGCGTCGGGGAAAAGAGGTGATGGTGATGTGCGATGAGTGCAGTGCACCCCGCCGACCCCGCCATCAGTGTGACGTGTTCGTTAGCAATGTAGTGGTATCCGTCCTGCAGGAGCTCGAGGTACCCCTCACCAAGGTCCGGCCAGGCAGCGGCGCTAGTAGCGCCATCCTCGCGGACACCCCACCGCGGCAACCCTCGCGGCGGAGGTCTCCCGTGCACTCCTCACCCGGTACTCCGAAGACCGAGGAGACGCCCCAGGAGCTGCCCTCCGCGCAGCAGCTTCAGCCCACCTGCGAGCCCTCCGCGCAGAACGCAGCGTTGAACCCCTCATCGTCTCTACTCAGCTTTGTACGGCGGTTCAGCGGCTCCCGCTTCCTCAGGGACCTCACCAACTCCATGGCGGACAGCCCTGGCCCGGGGCTGGGGTTGCCGGCCCTGCCGGCGCTAGGGCTGTCGGCGCTGCGCCTCAAGGACAGCAGGTCTCTGTCTCTGCAGCTGGAGTCTCGGCAGGTGGCCGAGCAGGCGCACCCTGGCCTCCAGCGCAGCACCCTCGCGCTGCCCCGCGTGGAGCTCGACAGGGCCTCCGGGCTCACCCCGCTCCGATCCAACGTCATGAAGGTGTTCAGCAAGGGCATCCTGTCCGAGAGCTCGGTTGACTTCTCCACCACCTCGATCCAGGACGCGGGCCGCTCGCATGCCCTGTCCGGCGGCCACGAGGCTGCCGTGTCGACCCAGGACGTGGCCGGGCTTCTGCGCCCCTCCCCGAAGACCACCACTGCGGCCACGAGCACGGCCGAGAGCGAACTCCCTGCCGGGGTGCTGTCAAGTATGAATCTGAGTGCCCACCGTGACCTGGTAGAGCTGCTGCGCCAGGATGTGGTCCCCATTACCACATCGAGGGGCCTGACGGCAAACATGTCCGAGGAGGGCATCCCCCGCCCCGTCGTAGACGACGAGCACAAGAGTCTGTTTGACCTGAAGAAGTCCCTGCTCACAAGCATCCCCGAGGCCGCTTCCCCTGACGAGGACGTACCCCACTGACTCTGAAGTACAATGATAGCAACCGAGAAAAGAAAGAACGCCAAATATTTTTCATTTTTGTCTTTAATTGTGATAGCTGACAACTTTTGCTGGTCTGCAGCTCGGTCTGCAGACACACCCGCAAACTAACAATAAAACACACCATGATTAGAACACTCGCGTTCGGAAGATCAGCACAAAAGTGTTATGCAATGTATGAAAATAGTATATACATCTTGGTACTTTTATCCTATTTTAATCATATGACAGTTAAGTACAGATGAGGAAGACATTTAGTGAAACGGGTGCAGCCAAAAAAGCTATAATTGGCCACATTATATTTTTTTTTAAACACAACAATAACAGTTTTACTTGGAGGATTTAGTCTTCGGTATCTCAATTTTAAATTTAAATTGTGGAACTGTGCAAACAACACTACGCTAATACACTACATTGACCTAACTTATATTATCACTTTCTTAAAAACGAATCTCATTTACTAAACACTATTTACAAGCGTGTCTTTTTCAACTGGTGAGTTACTTAAAATGACTTTTGCAGTCGTCAGGCAGGAAGGTGATTTTGTGATTAATAGAAAAAGTTAAAAATGCCACATGTAAATTTATCTTTTTCTCAATCACCAACTAACATCTAACATCATTAGAAAATACAACATTCATAGCAAAAATATTGATCTGGACTTCAAAAAAATAAAGGCTTAGCTATCACTCAGCCAAATAACTCGTCTTGTAAATTTTCTAAAAATTAATTGCAATTGACTTGTGCTGTTTCCCTCCTTGTCATTTATAATTCATCATTTCACTACAGGAACTTTTCATACACATCAGCTGCACACACTACTATTTTACAGGCACAGAAACATACTAACTGGAAACACTTTGAGCAGATGTCTACACATTTTTCTCCCTCTGGTCCGGTAAATGATTGTATGCTAGACTAGAAGCTCGCTTCGGTACACACTACATATGACTGGACTCAGTACCACGAGTAGAAGGGTTGAGGGTGCGCGCGCTGGCCGTAGTGCCCGAAGGCGGGCGCGGGGGGCACGCTGCCGGGGTGCTGGTCCAGCAAGGACGACGGCGAGGTGTTGCCCAAGGCCCTGGCGCTCAGCGGCGCGCCCAATGAGGACAGCTGCGGCTGGGAGCCGATCTGCTGCCAGGGGCCCGACACTCCCAGGCCGGAGGACAGTGAGCTGGATATCGAACTGGACAGGCCTCCGGACAGGCTGACGGTGTTGCTGAGTACAGCGAGGTCAGACGAGGAGGCGCTCGAAGGTGGGCAGAGAGATGAGTCGTTGCCGGAAACTGCAAGGAAGCGGAATAGGGGATTACTATTTTGAAAAATAAATAGGCAAATTTATTTTTTGCGTCGTGGGCCAGAATGGTTTACAAAATGCCCGTAAGAGGTACGTACCGGAAGAGCCCATGAGTGACGAGGCAGGGTGCGACAGACCCTGTCCGAGACTGTGTCCGATGGAGTGGCTGTGGTGGTGGCCGTGGTGGTGGCCAGGACTGTACCCGGGGCTCGGGTAGCTGGGGTAGCCGTGACTGGGACTCGGGCTCTGGTAAGCGTGGCTGGGGCTGGGGTAGTTGGGGCTGGGGTAGCCGTTGGGCACCAGGGACTGCGGTGACGAGCTGGGTCCGGACTCCATGTGACCCGAGTGGCTCGAGTGGTGGCCAAAGTGGCTCTCTGAGGGCGCCGACTCGGAGGATGGCGGCGAGAGGTTACCCATCTGCAAACAGGACGAAAAGAGGTTACAACCACGCCCAAAGTAGTCCACGCGGTGGAGTGAAAGCCGAGGGGACAAACTGGCGCGCCCGAGGCCACAATAGGCAGCGCCGGGGGCACCGCAGGCTTTGGCCGCAGGCCACTCACCATGCTGGTGGCAGTGGAGTAGGACAGGCTGCCGTAGCCGCTCGAGCCCGAGGAGGTCGTGGAGGTGTTTGAGGCCGAGGCCGCGCTGCCACTGCTCTGCTGCGCGCCACCGGGTGCGTCGTCCTGGGCCAGCGGGTCCTGCGCCTGCCGCGCTTCCGCTAGGCTGGAGCCCAGGTTGGAGCTGAGGGAGATGAACTCTGGCGGAGAGGCGCACGGCCCCTGACTGCTACCCTGGCTGCCGCCGTGGCCGGCGCCGTGCTGGTCGGGGAGGGCTCCCGAAGGCGGGGCGGTGAAGGCCGTCTCGCCTAGGCCCTGGCCCATGTATGAGCCGGACGAGGCCGACGTCGCGGATGGGTACACGGACATGGGTGGCATGGCCATGGGTGCGACGGGCATGCCGCTCACGGACCCGTACCCGGAGGACGTCGATGACCCCGACGAGCTGGACATCTGCTTGCGGAGGCGCGCCCTTCGGTTGCTGAACCACACCTGGATGCGGGCCTCGGTGAGCTTGGTGCGCTGCGCCAGCTCCTCGCGCGTGTAGATGTCAGGGTACTGGGTGCGCTCGAAGGCCTTCTCCAGCTCGTCCAGCTGCTGCGCCGTGAAGGTGGTGCGCGAGCGGCGCTGCTTGCGCTTCAGCGGGATGCCTGGCTCAGACTCGCAGTCCGAACCGTCCGATCCTTTGCCACCTGCGAGGAGGAAAAGAAGTGTCGTTAGTAAAACAAGCAGTCAAAGGTGTCGCAGTGGGCAGACCGGCACTGCCGGCACCACCGCGCCAAAGGCCAAACGCGAACCGCCGATCAGGTATTGAGGACTTATAATATGTTCGCAGTGCAACTGCATTGTTAAATTGCCCCCAATTGCAACACGATACACATAGGGACCACTATACGACATGGAAAAGAAAATCTTTGTTCGTAATTGTGTTCCAGATCCGATTAGGGAAGGCCTCTGGGCGGCGCCGCCCCGGCTGGCGAGGTATGGGCCCGGCCAAGGGCCCGGCTGATGATGATGAGAGGATACCAACGCTGACGTCGGCTAATTAATTACGACGCATTCGGGAAAAAATAGGCGGCCAAAACAAAAGCTGGTGGCGGTCAGGCCAGGTCGGAGTGTCAGAGAGAGGCCGGGGCGGGGCGCGGGCTGCCGCAGGTGTAACATCTACATCGGTGCGGGAACACCTCTCTCTGCTCCTGGACGCGTCGTGTCGCGCCGCCGGGACACGGGCCGGCCGCAGGTCGATAAATCACGCGCGGTCCCACACGCCCCCCTCCCCCTTACCCCTCTCTCTTTCTCTTTCGCTGGTCGGCATGAGCGGTAGACGGAGAGCCGCACCACCGCCTGCCTCTTCTCGGAAGCGTATATTTTTACGATCTCGGTGCACCCAACCCCACCGGCCGCGCGGCGGCCTGCGAGCGGAACACGGCGGCGGCGGCCGGCTGAACGGGCCTAGCGGCGTGAGCAGGTGCCGTGAGGTGGCCGCGGTGCGGTGGCGGCGCGGCCGGGGCGCGGCCGCGGATAAGCCGCCCGGCGGCGCGTCGTGACTCCTTTTTGTGCTTCCGCCGCGCCTCTCCGCGCCTCTTGGCGGGTGATGGAGTCGTGCGGGACACTCATCTGTCGGCGCCCGCGGCCCGGCAGCCCCACCTCCCACCGAGAGGCGTTTCGCGGCTCGTTCCGCGGCGATGGATGCGCTGCGCGCGGCGGGCCGCGGCCGCGCCGAGACAAAAGCCGGCGGGATTGGACGACAAGGCGGCAGCGGCAGCGCGCCTCCCCGGGGCGCGGCACCGCGGCACGGCACCGCGGCGGCGGCGGCGGCGGCGAGCAGCAGAGGCGAGGGTGTCGGCGCTCAACGTGGACAAATGAGGGGTTCGCCGCCCGGGCCGCCCCATGCTGCGCCCGCCGCCCCCGCCGCCCGCTCCCCACACTCCATTTTCCCATATTGCTGAGACTGGCCGCCCGGCCCCAGCCCCGGCCCGGGCCTCCTCGGGTCCAACAGATACAAATTGCCGGCCGGAGGTTTTCGCACCTTTCGCAACACCACAAAGCGAGCGGCGCTTTTGGGACCGGCAGGGCCCCGGCACATCACATCATCCCGCCCGCAAAACGGCAACAAATGGATTGTGGCGGCGGGGCGGAGCGGGCGGGGGCGCTCGGGGGGCGGCCAGGCTCCCACGGCCGGGGCCTGACCCGCGGGCGGAGGCGGGGCGGAGAGGGTCAGTGCCGCCGAGCTACAGGTGGCGGGGCTGGCGGAGTGTGTCAAGCGCGGGGGCGGTGTAGGGGCGACGCGGGGGTGGCCGTGGGGTACGCGGCCCACGCCACGGCCCGCCGCGAGGATCAGTGATGTGCCCCGCCAAGCCAGCCCGTCTGGCTTAGTAGTGAGTTAGCATCTCTCTCAGAGCCGTTTCCACAGGACGAGTATCCACACACAAATTGGCTCGGAGCGGGAGCCTGAGTGGGTGGGGGAGGGGGGTGTGGGGGGATAGATTCATTAATCTTAGTCCGGCTGATGGAACGAGAAGAAGCGCCGCCGCGCTCGGGATTGCGTTCACGCACCGGGGCACCCGAGCGAGAGAGACGGCGATCTGTCATCGGAGCGAGTGAGGGAGAGCGTTGCGCCCTGCCGGCCAGAGGACTCCAAACAATTTAGTCGGCGGCCTGCTCCTCGGCCTTTGTCGGCCTCGGCCGAGGAGAGCGCGTCGGGCAGCGCGGGCCCGTGTGGTGCTGGCCAGCGTGCGGGCGCTGGTCGAGCAGCCGGGCCCCGGGCCGCTGTGGGCCGCACAGCCTCGCGGAAGGGAAGGCGGAAGGGAAGCGACATTAAAGAGCTTTTATGACAGCAGCGGTAATAACAACACGGCTCGGCCGTGTGTGCGACACCGCGCAGCCCGGCCTGCAGGCCGGTGACCAAGGCTGCAGGAGGGGCGCTGCAGCAGGCTGCAGGCGGCCTGCAGGCCGCCAGGCCCGGGCTGAATACCAATACGACGCGCATCACTGGGCGACCAAATTACCTCCCAGAGCCGCCTGCTGCTGCAGCACGGCCTGCCTGGCCCTCCGGCCGCCACTGGTACGGCAACGCAGGGCGGCCCAGGCAACTTTCAGTTTGGGGGGGGTGAAGGG